TGATCAGAGAGTGCACCAACAACCTGAGAGAACTCGCTAGGGGCAATGATGTTACCCTATGGTGGGTTCCAGGTCACAGCAACATTGAGGGCAATGAGAAGGCCGACAAGCTGGCCAAAGAGGCAGCAAACACGCCCTTCATTGGACCCCAACCTGGATGTGGACTACAAAAAAGCCACCTAAAACAAATAATCAACAACTGGGAGGCTTCAAAGATAGCCTTACGCTGGAAAGAACTTCCAGGTCACAGACAAGCGAAGAGTATGATAACTCCGTCGCAAAACAAAACCAAAGAGGTTTTATGCCTCAGCAAAGGGGATCTAAGAACGCTCTCAGGCTACCTAACCGGCCATGTGCCCCTAAAATACCACCTCTTCCACATTGGACAAGCTGAGGATCAAACTTGTCGACTATGCAACGACGAGTCAGAAACTGCTGAACATATACTGTGCAATTGCGTCGCCAGAGGACGTCTAAGGCACAACGTCTTCGGTAAAACTACCCTGTTACCTACCGACATAAAGGTTCAAGACCTTAGGACAATACTAAGGTTCATTAAGGACCTACATTTGCCCTAAACCATTGGAGGGCTAAAGTTACAATAGATCTTATAGGTCGCGGTAACGAGAGGGGCCGCCCTCCTCAGCCCGGCAGCAATAATAATAATAATAATAATAAGGTCAATCTGGTGACAAATTTAAAATACTCCTCCTGGTTTAAAAACAGAGTATAGAACTAACACAAGATCTACAACTAGAATCAATCGGGTTTAGCAGTCTTGAGAGACGTGCGACTATCCGAATGTTTTTCGTTTTCAGTCTAGTATTAACACAGAATCTATTGATACACAGTCTATCTAACGACAGGTAGTCAGTCGTTATGCATCAAAAGCCTAAGAAAAACAAGGGCGTTTCATCCGAAAATATACGTTGTAATCTCACCTAGTTTAGTGAAAATAACTTTACTTTTAAGTTTATCAGATTGATGTTGTTAGGTGTTGACTGGTTTAATAGGAAAAAGCATTCTTAACATTGCTTATGACGTCACATCGAAACATTAATGTCATTGTTTGGTATGTTCTACACTTTTCCACACATTCTTTTTATTTTTAGCGTGTTTTTTGAGTCATTTCGCATTGATAAAAACAAAAATCGTCGATTTTTAAGCCACAAGATGATTCTTGAATTTTTCCAAAAAAAAATCGTATATAAATAACTCACCTATAACTNATTGGTTATATTAAAAAATTACCGCTTTAATTAATTATTTGTGAAAATAAAGGCGGTCAAAGACTAGTAGTTCTAAATTTAATTAAAAATTAGTGTTTGACCAAATGGTCAAATACTAGACGAATTGGTTGTGGTATAATCTCACAAGTATTTATATTTGATTAATAAAATGGAAAAATGTGTAATACCTGTTTTTAAAACTTGCTGTTTAAACTGTTTAGTATTTGACCAAAACTTTTATACTTTAAAAGTAAGATACAATCAGTTTAAATATGCGGTCAATTACTGATTCTTCTTTTGGTCATTTATAGGACATAAACACGTCAAACACTGAGTTTTTTAACCGATTTTGAATTTTATAAATATTTAAGCCTAATATAAATATAAGTGTAAATGTTTGGTTTTTTTCTATTTTTTTTTAAGCCTTTTTTATAACAATAAAAGTAATTGAACACACTTAAACAGTAATCAATCTGTAAAATTAAAAGGATAAAAGGTAGGTCAAACACTGACTCTTATAGTGGTCAATTATTATCAAAAATGGAAAATCTATATGGAAAATTTAGCAAATATAAATCAGGTTCACTTTTTTCAGTACCAATATGACAACGAAGCCTCTCATCTTCAAAAGGCTTTCGATGCAAGAAGTAGGGGTTTATCTTATGAAAAAGCAGCCAAGATGTTTAATGTACCAAAGTCAACTCTTATTTATAAAGAAGAAGGAAAAACACCAATGCAATTTGAAAATGAGCCCACCAGCATTTTTAAATTCTGATGAAGAAATGCTACTGGTTGAATGGTTGTTTCATTCAGCAGTCCTGTTACAAAAACCAGTTGGAAAACACAAAATTTGGGTGAAAAGTTAAGTCAAGAACATTTTGCTCCATTTAAAGAGTCAAAAAGTATAAACATTTAATCAAAGTGGTCAAACACTGAATGCGAAATACAGTTATTCTTTTTAATTTTAAAAAATATTACTTTATGATGTTATATTTTATATGTAGGGTAAGCAACTTTAAATGAATCAGATGTGTATTTGATCATATTTTGATCATTTTATGTAAAGGCAGAGGGATCTACAAGAAAAATAATATGACTCGGTCAAACACTGACATTAAAATATCCTTAATAGGTCAAACACTGGTGCGTTTACCCTATACTGTGTAATTGCGTCGCCTAAGACAAAAATTTTTCGGAAAAGCCCTTTTGACACCTACCAACATAAAGGAACAAGACCTTGGAGCAATACTAAGGTTCATTAAGGACCTACATTTGCCTTAACCTTTTGGAGGGCTGAAGTTACAATAGATCTTATAGGTCGCGGTGACGATTATCGCTCCCCTCAGCAATAATAATAATAATGTGGGGTGTATGAAACATTTATGAATCACTGTAAATAATTTTTTTACCTGATTATGATCAACTGTATAAAGTAATAAATCGCATAAAATTGTTAACCCAGTCCTGCCAACTCCAGCGGTACAATGAACTAAAACCGGAGGATTTTTGTTATGTCCAGGTGGTATCTCTGACATTGAATGTTGTTGAACGGACTGTAATTCTTCAAGAAAACCCAGAAAATGCGCCACTGAATGTGGACAACCTTGATCACCCCAATCTGTATAGTGCAAATGCCACAATGTTCGATATCTCCGCGAGGTTACATGACATAACCTTACTTTGCTTGTTATACAATGGCCGGTTTTTTGAGAAAATTCCCACCATACTTGATAATCCTAAATAAAATAGATTCGAATTAAAAATGTATACATAAAACTGCTTAAAATTAAAGGTAATTACTTGTCCGACATCTATGCATCTTTCATTTGCGTCTGGTAAATAATTTAAATCTTCTGTTGGATCCGTCAATTGAACCAAAAGGTAAACTTCCGATTCCCAAATGCATTGCCAAAAAAATGGAAGGGTTTTTATCGATGGACCTTGAGCTGCGATGTAAAAGCGCTGTTTACTACCAACAGTAGCCTAAAAATTAAAAAAATCATCAATTATAGTTAATTTTTAAACATAAAATTACATACAGTTATATGTGAAGCATTAATATATCCGTATTTGTTATCTTTGGAAGGTGTCAATCGTAATCGATTATCCTCGTATGGAAGAACATCTTTAAAATGATTAAAAAGTCCATTTTCCGGAAGTAAAGCAGTTGTAAAATCGGCATTTTGTTTCTTTTTGGGTATCTTATCGAATTCAAAAAATAAATGATTATCAGTTAATTTATTTTCTAATAATTGGCACATTGTTTCTTTGCTAATAGATGGCGGAAGTGGATGTTGTAATCTCGGCAAACCCGTCGACCATCTATGTCTATTATTATTTTGTTGCTTTTCCTTATTTTTATCTTTTTCTCTACCCAAAGTAGCACTTTTAACCTTTTCACTCGATTTACTCCTCCCAATTAATATCCCCCAACGTTTCTTTTTCTTACTAACATTACTACTACCCGAAGAAGAAACAGTAACGTCCCCCGAACCATCAGTAACAGAGGAATCATTAAAATTACTAGTCGTTGGTGAAACAGTCATCATATTTGATTGCGTGTTTTGACTCGGTTTCGTATGCATTAAAAACGTATTAGTTCGACTTCTAATTTGATTTTGTTCGTTTTGTTGTTGTTGTAAAAGATTTAAATTTTGATTAGATTTATTAAAAATTTTAATTTCGTTTAAGTTTGTTAAGGAAGATTGTTTATTTAACTCAGTTTTTGACGAGTGACTACTTATATTTGCGTATAAATTCTCTTTACTTGGGTGATTAATTTGCGGTAAATTAACTTTTGATTGAATCGCATTAACCACCGTTTGATTAACAACTTGGCTCACTTCCGGCGCCGAATGAATACTTTGCGTTCGAGCTCTCATTTGGCCATTATTTTGCCATGGTAATGGAATATTTTCATAAATCGGTTCGGTTGAGCCGTTTAATTCTGGCGAATGAGCCACAATTGCATTTTGATTTCTTGTTACAACAAATCCGGTTGATGGGAGTTGATTTTCTTGAAGGATTTGTTTCATATTAGCAGGCATGCAATAAATTATATTTCCGTGTTCATCATATACTTTTTTTATGTGCTTCGTTATGTTCGGATTTTCCATTATAACAGCTTGAGGTTGTCTACCAAGCATGTTATTATTAAAAATCGACGATAAATTTTCGTATGTTCCATGTTGTGGTGGTAAGTAACTATGAGAACGATGTACTGGATGTGAAGGTTGATTTGCATACAAAGCTTGGCCGTAATGCTTTATGTATTGTTGATTTATAAAATTACCTTAAAAAAAATTGAATATACATTAACAAATATCTACAAATAAATATTGTAAACTGCTACGTCGAAGAAACCTGCCTAGCTTAATATGCAGTAAAAGGGAGCTAGTAATTGTTAATAGATTATATATATTTATTAATAATTTGGTAACGCCATCTAGCGGGTGGTTTAATTAAGATAATGGTTTAGGAGCAATCAAATAGTTAATATATAACGTAGTTGTTAGTTACGCTTTTGTAACAAAAAAAAAATACAAGTTTATAAAACGATCACGCATTATTTTAACAATAACAATTAATATTTAATTTTTGTTTACCTGTTGAAACTAAATCTGGACTAGATCCGGATACAATATTATTAAAAAAGTTTAAATGTGGTTTAGTCTGTTGAGAAATCCCAGCTAAATCCGGTGTAGAACTCGAACTAATCCTATTTGTTGGGTAAGGAGGTGGGGGTTTATAAAGATGTAATAACCTCATCTTTTCCACCATATCCGCTATATTAGAATGATTCTCAATCTGCGATTGTTGATAACCAGCGTTAAAACCTTTTTGTTCGATGTTATTATGAGTAACATCAGGGTACATATGCGCCGCAAACGCTTCCGTTTGATGTATTTCCGGTTGAGAACTATACAACATCGTATGAGCACTCCTAATCGGTTCTCTACCTTGCACATTCCCGGCAGAGTTACGATACTTTTGTTGCATAGCCGTTTCATAATCAGGAGCTGGTCGATAAGAAGGTAAAAGACTTCTTAATTTATCGATATCGGTGGGTGTATTTAAATCAAGCGCTGAAGTAGATTGAGCTCGTTGGCTCAATAATAATTGAGAGGCACTCGATCTTGAATCGCCCCAATGTTGAGAACTCGTTACGTCTTCGTAACTTTCAACTTGCCAAGGCTTTTCAACTTCTTTCTGTTGGAAATTTGGCGAGCTTTTTTGATCCATTTGATCGCACGTGTAATTCATTTCGTGTTGCCGGTAAAATTGATGTTGTAAAACGCAAAATTTCCAAGCATTTTTTGAACTTTCCACGTCGGAGAATTGAAATTCAGCTCGATCACTACTTATTACAGATTCAATTGTAAAATCGATTTTATGGTTTATCACATTGTTAATATCTATCCAACTAAAAAATAATTTGATTAAAAAAAAGGTATAATTCAAGAATCATCATGTCACTTAAAAATAGACAATCTTTTTTAATCGACGGAAAATCACTCAAGTAAGTCGCTACAAATAAAAAAAACTGCGGGAAAGTGATAAACTTACCGAAAGATCAACTTTAAAGTTTCGACGCGACGTCACTTTTTGTGACGTCATCGACCGTGCTACAATTGCCATTCAATTGGTATACATTTTTAGCTACAAACCCAAAAATGTCTTAATCTCAAATTTGACGTTTCAAGACATCAATGTCATTTATAACTGAAAAAGTAGAAACGATGGGGGGAAGTGTTAAAGAAAAAACATTCATAATAAACCCAAAAAACATAATCCATAAACAATTTCATTCCAATTGGTATAAATTTTTAGCTACAAACCCAGAAATGTCTTAATCTCAAATTTTACGTTTCAAGACATCAATGTCATTTATAACTGAAAAAGTAGAAACGATGGGGGGAACTGTTATTAAGAAAAAACATTCATAATAAACCCAAAAAACATAATCCATAAACAATTTCAATCCAATTGGTATAAATTTTTAGCTACAAACCCAGAAATGTCTTAATCTCAAATTTTACGTTTCAAGACATCAATGTCATTTATAACTGAAAAAGTAGAAACGATGGGGGGAAGTGTTATTAAGAAAAAACATTCATAATAAACCCAAAAAACATAATCCATAAACAATTTCAATCCAATTGGTATAAATTTTTAGCTACAAACCCAGAAATGTCTTAATCTCAA